GAGAGAGAATATCCTCATCGCGATTCGATCGACAACAGGATAAAGAAACAAGGGGAACAAGTGGATTGCTTACGAGAGAATCAACAAAAAGGGGATTGCTTGCGAGCGAATCAAGGTATCGACAAGGGATCATATGGATCCAATGACAGATTAAGTTGAAATATGGGGAAGGACTACCGATGAGATAATGAGAGGAAACTCAGGACTCTGCACAAAGGGATAGCTCATTCCATTGAAACCATAAGGGATAGACATATAAGAATAAGAATGAGTAACATCTATAACTCGCATGCTACATGACGAAATACCATTGTGGATTGTTAATTAGTCTAAAGTTTTTTGTATTTCCAAAATAAGTGAGGCAGTTATTGATTATTTTCTAGAATAGGCCCGCAATTTATAAAGCTGTAAAGCTGAATTGTAAGCTGTATCCCGTCGCAGGCGTTGTGGCGATAAATTTGAATTTGGTGGCGATATTGCAGGTGCGCACAATGGGACCGATGTGCACTCATCACAGCGGCAGTGGTCATTATTGTCGTATCGTTGTCGGGAGGGCTTGACTTGTGCAATGTACTCGTAAAAGAATCGCTCACCATTATCTGCAGGCAATTTTTCAACTTCAGGGAAAGGGACAATGGCGACACCAACAGCGGCAGCCATTTTATTCACAAAGTCGAGCTGTGTATGGTTCCAAAAGGGAACAACACGTTCCCATGCAGCTGGTATGTTTTTCCTTTCTTGAGTTTCCTTGTTGATCAGCCTTCGTTTGTGTCTGATTGCCAAGTTAAATCTTGCTGTTCCACACAGATTCAAATTGTCGGCGAGTGATGGTACCATGCCCCCATTTGCAAAGTGAGTGAACCTGTCATGAAACGCTTCCAGCTTTGATTCTCCTCTCTTCGAAAGGTACTCTGTTAACTGGTATTTCGAATTTGCACCAGGCTTGATTGCATCGTACATGTCATCAATTGACAAGGGATCACTCAAGTGTATTGCTTTCCCCTTGCAGTTGGAAAAAGAGGTTCTTGTTTCTTCATTGAAAAGGGAAACTTTCTTCACTGGATCAAGGCGACCTCTTGCCGGTCTGATTTCAGGTGATGTCGAGGTGACTTTGTACTTACAGTGCCAGCCATCGAGCATCGAGCATCTGGATCATGGTCTGTGGTTCTCTCATTGTCTTCCGGAGAAACTTTGAGTATCGCTGCCGGAAGAGTGGTCCAGATTGCATGGTTGCAATTTGTGCAGTCGAGTGGCACTTACCGCCAATTGTGCCATCCTTCAAAGCGCAAAGCACAAGTTCATTGTCGTCAGGATGGTAAGTGTACAGGCAAGACTGTAGATCATGGATCGCTTCCCCATAATCAATGTGTCCCTTTCTCATTGTTGAGATGATTCTTTTCTCATAGTGAAACAGACCCAACCTTCCTTTTACTTCAGGGAAGATGCGCTTCCAAAACGGCTCTTTGTTAGGCCATGTATCACTGTACATCGCAGATGGTTTGAAATGAGGTCTTCTGGAAAGGAGCAAGGCCGCATGGGAGAAGTGAATGGTTTTGGTAGTTGGCACCAAGACAGCTGTTGCAATCTCTCCTGTTGAAGTCCCCACATCCCACACAGCGACTGCTTCGGTTCCCTTTTGATAGTTCTTTACCACTTGAAAGGTATGATCCTGTGCAAACATGTCGGTACAACCAACTGACTGGATTTCTTGTGTGCCGGTCATGATCACTTATGCCCCATCTGTTGTTCCTTGTGGAAGCTGCGAGATCATACGTCTTTCGAATGTTCTCTCCAAGAGGTGGATATTGTCGGATGTACTCGCCATCCTTCTGGACGTACGGTGGAGGAGATTGCTTGTTGCGAGTTTTCATGATGGAGTAATAGGATCCGACTCTGCTAAGATATTCTTGATTAATAGCATTGAACAGTAATCTACTGCATAAATCTCCATTACCATACATCAACATAATAGAACTGAAGACCTCAGTAGCAGCTCTGTCCAGGTGACAGTTCTTCGTGTCAAGGGCGTAGTTTGGTTCAACTGGGTAATTTGTTGCAATGTGTAGTGGGATGGAGAGGAGAACTTCAGCACAGTTAGCATCGTATCGACGCTTACACTCAGGACAAGCCATACTCTGCACAATGCACCAAGAAGGAGCACCCTGCAACCCAAAGATGGGAAAGAGCTGCTTGTTCTTAGACCAGTTAGATCGGATATTTGCCAAATTGCAGCCACAACCAGCAGGACACGGCACAGGTATCCCAAAACGCTGCCAATCTACTAAGTAGAGCTTCTGCCCGACAATTGAGTGATAGAATGGATGTGTATTGCCGTAAAACTCGGGCACTGTAATTGCAATTCCCTCAAAGTGATTTCTCAACAGCGAGTTGTCTTTCTGTCTTATGGTCTTGTCCACCACGACAGAAGCAAATGCAATCATGGGCAATGGAATCAGCTTGGACTCGTGCTTCTTGCAGAAGTCGGAATCTTGTACCATCTTGGTCACTTCTCTACAAAACATACCAGAAGATAAGTCATCTGTTGTTGTTCCTGTCACGGTTCTGCTGCTTGGAGGTGGAGCGACTTCGATCTCCCAGCACCCTTTCTTGGCTTGAAGAAATCACGACCTGCTTTGGCGGTAGCATGTTGGGAGCTAGCTTTCTCCTTGGTTTCCAAGGGAGCGTTGTACCGCTCTTGTAGTCTTTTCTCTTCTTCCATAGTCTCGCGATTCTGTTGCGAGATGACAACCAATCCTTTCGTTTTTGTATTCTTTGGACAGAGGTCGTGATGAGCTTTCTTGTATTCAGGAACAGGATAACCAGCCTTTCTTAGAGATCTGGACTTGCAAGTCTTGCAGTCTTTTACAGGATCAAACGCAGCTCTTCCGTGCAATGTTAGTTGCCCTATCACTGTCTTCTTCTTGCGCTTGGTGGGCTGATTGCTGCTGGCAAGACTGTATGCTCGCTTCTGTTGAGAATTTCGCTGCTGACTCTGGCGGCCCATTTCTTCATTTTGAGATCCATTATCTTTCTTCCTTCCATAAGGGTTCACTAGGAGGGGTGTAGACGTCATGTTCGCTGCTGTAGACTGCAAAGATAATAGTGATTATCATTGCGATATCAAGTGGAATGACTGGCCTGATCGTCATTGTCGAAGAGGGAATCTTTCTTTTTCTTTTCGACTTGTCCGAAATTGGTTGAAAAGATAGCACGTCCTTAGTGTAATGCTTACATCAGCAGTTGTTAATTGATGCTGACATATACACATTCTGTTGACCAATCATATTACTGCCTTCTACCCCGTTTCGGCTTTTGTTCCCGCAGAAAGCCAACCACTGGGTTACTCGGCATTTTGTCTATTTAAGGCTATTGTATCTGATTACAGAGTTCCCTAAATGTTCTATGCTCCTTTGTAAAAGTGGCTTATGTCTCACAATGTCTACGGATGTCTCACAATGTCTTCGGATGTCTCACAATGTCTACCAATGTCTCACAATGTCTCACAATGTCTCACAATGTCTACTAATGTCTACCAATGTCTACACAGTACAGTAAAACAGTACAAAAATGTCTCACTTTGTCTACCAATGTCTCACAATGTCTCACTTTGTCTACCAATGTCTACCAATGTATCACTTTGTCTCCTAATGTCTTCAAAAGTCGCACAATGTCTACTTTGTCTACTTATGTCTACTAAAGGTGTGTAGACATTTACATAAGGATAGAAGGATCACTTAATCGCCAAAACACTTACCCAAACAGACAAAATGCCGAGTAACCCTGAGCTAAATCGCCTCATCATTGTTGCTCACAAGGGTAGCATAAGTAAGGGGAACATCCTTTGCATCTGTCAGGACCATTCGAACACGTTGTGGAATTGACTTGACTCTTGCCTTGGTATCCTCAATTTCGGCTTGAAGCTTTGCGTCATTCGGCAACTCCCGCTCATATGAGCAGCAGGCACCACTACATCCAACAGTACTGCTCCTCTATCGACAAAACCACCCAGTGCTGGAACCACCACGTCCTCTTGCTGGAACCAGGGTGTCCAGTGGCGGAAATGTTATCCACACGAGATCGACACGCTTTCTCGTTGTGGCTGAGGGGGTCAGGCTCTTGCAATTCCGACCCAAAGGAATGCCACAGTTCTGCCAAGTAGTAAGCGTCAACCGAGTGGTGACGGGCTCCGTCCTGGCTGCCATGGGAAAGGACTTAAACTATGAAGCGCGAAAGACGATCGAAGGAGCTTGGTACGATATATAGGTAGGAAGACTAATGTGGGGCCCGTGAATTCTTAGAACTTATCAAAGACTCCAGCAACTTTGAATGCAATGTTGTCTTCAATTTGAACCTTGCTGCCTACGTGGACACCGAGAACCTTACCAAAATGGGGGTGGCCATGCTGCAAAACAACCAAATGACCACCCGAGCACCCTGCAAAAGCATTGACGTCGTGCTCGAAATGATCCTCGTAGAAGCGTTTAATGCGCCCGGTAAAGATGAGCAGTTCTTTCGCTTTCCCCAATATGTCTGGCAGCACTTCCTTTGTCAACCCTTTTTGGCCACGATTCACAATCATTTCTTCGTCGTAGTTCGGCCCATCCACTGTATAAACTGCCATGCCTATTTCGAGACCGGTCGTGTAGACAAAGTCGTCAGGCACGACGTCCTTCACGCTGATGATTTTCAGCAGCTGCTGCGCAGACTCATCAGAGGCCGAAATCTCTGGTCCGAGGGAAATGTCGATACCGTACTTCCATGTCAACTCCTTCCCTTCCTTGTCGGTTCGTGTGAGTCCGTGAGCATTCGCTGCACTCCATTCCTCAGTTCGCTCCCACCCAGCTCTTGGAATTTCAAGCATTCGAGCGCTAAGACCTCTGAAAGTGAAGCATCGGAACTTTCTCGAGTGGTCTTCCCAAACCCCCTCTCGATCATTTTCGCTGCAAGTGTTGTGGGCAGCCGTCAGAAACTTGACGGTTCCGTCTGGACCACGAACAAGCCCACCTTGGCCAGTGTATGTGGCCGAAGAGAATCCCTCGCTACGCATTGGGAAGACCTGCCACATAATCTCGCAAGCGCTGTTGCGGAGCTTTTTGATCACAAACCGATCCAACCCAGCCATTTCATCGGTGGTGTTGTCCACTTCACGTCCTGGTGCTTATCCAACCAGCGCATATGCCCTTTACGGCGTGCTATTTTCTCGGCTGAGCGAGCAAATATTTGGTTGGGGGCCTTTGGTGGAGTGTGGCATCCTTTGTAATGATATCGGGGAGTGGTCGTTGTGTTGCTGCTGTCGCTGCTGCCACTGCTCTCTACCACGCCCTCGTCGCCCGTTGTGGAGGAATCGTCGCTGAGCGTCATATTACGTATTGCTTCGTTGTCGGCTGATGGAGGAGACATCATCTTATTGTGCTCGTTCGTTGCAGAGCTCTGGCGGTGTTTGCTGAGGGCGAGATGTGGAAACCTGGCCGTTTCCTCCGTGATGGATTCTTTCTGATTGCAGGGGGATGCAGGAAATCACGTTCCACACCAGTAATATAGCAAAGCTGCAGAAAAATAATCTAGACTAGCCAGCTATTCATATGCCTCCTGGCTCGTCTCCGTTTCCATAAATCTTTTATTACCAACACCTAGTATTCGCGCGCTCCGCGCGCTCATCCCTTTCTCTGCTTCGCCCCGAAACAGATCCCTCATTCATGCGAAAAATGTGAAGAACGCCTTCGCCCCGAAACAGATCCCTCATTCATGCGAAAAATGTGAAGAACCCAAGGCGACTTTCATGTGCGTGTACATGCGTTGACTGTATCCCGTCAATACAATACTAGTCGAATACGTAGACTTCTACAGAGGCCTCTAAGTAATGCACGCCGGGTATAATTCAAACCTCCACTCCCCATCGGTACCCTTACCCCTAAAAGCAAATCGTCTCTGGGAGACGAAATTAGGGGTCTTCAATGTTGCTCTTTCAGATCACTTTTTTTGCACCTTTTTTGTCTTTTCTGGGGGAGCCAGAAGAGGGGAAGCAAAGGGGATCTGGGGAGGAACCGGACAGGTGCGGAGAGGCGAAACGTGACCACTGCAAACATGTTAGGACGTGCTTTCCGTTGAAGACGTCACAAGCCATTCGAATGACTTCTTTCCTGTGTAAATGTTATTTCTTTGGGTTACCAGCTTGTTCTTCGTGACTCATAGCTTCGCGTGGCGATACTAGATTAATAATCAAAGTCAAACTCATTGTTGACTCTATCATAGTACTCCACCTGCCACATTGGCCGGTCCATGATTTGGAGCTGGACAATGTTGGCCACAGCATGGGTCATCAACCCATGCTTGTGGAGGGAATGGCGCCACCTCTCAAGGAGGCATCTCCATTCCTTCAGTCTTCTATTAGTACATTCGTGTCTGGCCCTCATGAGGGCTTTCCTAGTGCACTGCTACTCAGTGTCAAGGTGTCGCCATGGGCAGTCAAAGAACTGAGGATAGCCTCTATATCCCTTGTCAGTGCACTACGCTAAAAGCTAGTGCAAAGATCTTTCGAGTGTTTTGTGTTTGAGAGAATGAAAGTTATGAGAGAGATTAGAAAGCTATGAAAACTAATCAACGAGAGAGATCATCATCAAGAAGGGATCGTAGATCTGGTCTCCCGCGGGAGACTATAAAGTGTGATAGAGTAGGTTGCGGTAGTAATCCTACGTATCTCCACGATCCTAAAACGGAACACGTGGAAGATTTGTCTAGCATGGATCTAGTAGCGTGGAAGTACTCCACGCTGGCTAAATATCTAGAGCGATGTTTCATCATCAACCTAGTATGACTAGAGCGGTCATTGAGAACCCTGTCTCAAATGACTATTCACGAGAGACTCAGTCATGAGTCGAACTCAAACCCTATCTAGGATCGAGTCGCGAATAAGGCTAAGAGCCGTGTATTGCATTCGCCCCCTGACAAGGGTCACAGAAGGCGCGACAGCAGTCGGACAAGGAGAACATATGATTTAAAGTGCGGGGCACTCTCATGAGATTTGGATGTAGACATGTGCGTCGCACGATGGCAATCCTACAAGGGGATCAGGCCTTGTATGGGTGTATATACCTTATGTTCCAAGTCTGGTAGACTGTGCCGCCATTGGCGGTAGCATGTCGGAGCCGTACAGTGCCATTGTCATTGACTCGGTCTATAGTGTAAGGACCTTTGTACTTTGGCTGACCGTACTTGCGGTGCTGATACTGTTGAATCATCACGGTATCGTTGACATTGTATTGATGAGGGACACGCGTCGCGTTTTCCCTATCGTTGTTTTGTTGGATTAGTCGCTGGCGACGTTCCTTGATGTACTTCCAGTTGGCTTCGAACCGGACGTTGTGAATCGCGTCACGATTGAACACGAGCTGCGCGGGCGTTGCACGCAAGGTGGTATGAATCGTGGCATTCATTGCAAAGCGAACCGCCGTGAGGACTCCATCCCAGGATCCATTCACGAGGTCGTCTTGGCACTTGATGTTTTGAACAGCGATCAAGTTGCGTATGGTCTGATGAGCACGCTCGACCATAGAGTTGGCTTGAGGGTTACGCGTAGTAATGAACTTGCGCCGAAGTCCATATTCATCCCGGAGAGTCTTTTCGACCTCTGCGCGGAACTCACGTCCTCTATCCATGATGACCTCAGCAGGCCATGGATACCGAGTAAGCCACGATTGTTCTAGGACGATGGCTACTTCGTCTGCTGCCTTGGAGCAGATCTCTGCAATCTCAAACCATCCGGTTACGGGATCAATCATTGTTAGGCAATGAAGTGTGCAGGAATTCTTTTTCTTAGGATCCCCGACGTTGTAAGGACCTATCAGGTCAATACATAGTCTTTCCCAAGGGATCTCCTCGCAAGTCTTTGGAGGCATCAATCCCAGCTTACGCGTTTTGGGTTTGTTCATCTGGCAGCTCTGGCAACGCTGACATACGGCCTGCACAGTCTTGTGCAGTCCTTTCCAGGTGTAGTGTTGGCAGAGCAGGGTTGAGCTTCCTGCTGTAGAACGCGATAGGTTTTCCCTTCTGGGAAATTACTGCACCTAGTTGAGTATCACTCGCATCCGTGTGGATAACGAATGTATCGTTGAAGTCAGGGTAAGCGAGCAAGGTTTCTTTGCTGATGATCTTCTTCATCTGGCTAAAGGCTTTGTCGTGTTCGGCTTCCCATTTCCACTTCGTTGTTTTGGAAGTCAATGAAGCGAGTGGAGCCAGTACATGTGATCGTCTAATCCACATGTCTCGATAGTAGTTCACTAGTCCAATGAATCTACGGAGTTCTTTTCTGTTAGTAGGAGGAGCGATATTCTGGATCGCGTCTATTTTCTTGGTTATAGGTTGGATCCCTTCTCGAGTAATCCAGTAACCTAAGTATTCAAGTTCTCCTCTTGCGAAGAAGGACTTGGTAGCATTGATCTTAAGTCCGGCTTCTCGAAGTCTTCGGAGAACTTCATCCAACTTTTCAACGTGATCTGCCAGATCGCCGTTAGTTAGGATGAGTAGATCATCAATGTATGCACGGACGTATTCTAGGTCGTGCATTAGTGTTCCCATCTTCTCTTGGAAGATGTCGGCATCTAAGAAGCGCATTTTAGCCACCCAATTTACCAGTGTGCTTGTGCGTGATGGTCTTGTGCAAGAGCCTCTACAGTCCGATGCAGGTGCCTACTATTAATTCAGCTTTGCGTTCAGGTCTAGACTAGTAGCGTACTTGAATCCGTCTAGATTCAAGAGCATGTCCTGTATTTTTGGGATAGGATAAGGCTTCCGCTTAATCCTTTTGTTCAGTTCCCGGAAATCAGAGATGAATCGTACAGATCCATCTTTCTTGGGAATGATGAAAGTTGGTGCCGCCCACTCGGAACGGTTTACCTTCTTGAGTACTCCTGCCTCGCAGAGACGTTCAACCTCCATCTTAAGAGTGTTGGTATGGACCCGTGGAATAGGATAAGCCCTGGCATGATAGGGTTTAGCATCAGGGAGAAGTTCTACTTCGTAGTCGTCCATCTGCCACTTTCCTAAAGTACAATCGAATAGATCGGAGTACTTGGTCAATAAGGCATGGAGCTGTTCCTGCTCTTCCTTATTTAACTGATCTTGACTTTGGCATACCTGCCTTAAGTCAGCTTGTTCGTATTTCGCATCAAGAATCTTCTTGAGACGATCTGCACTGTCATCGACAGCTGTAGGATCAGGAATGAAGAAGTTCTCTTCTTCATTGGTATCACTATCTTTCATAGGAATAGATATGCCATCCCATTCCACTGACATGGTAGTGAAATCGAACTTAAATCCTAGATCGGAGAGAATGCCTCGACCTATGATCATGTCATACGCCCCCAAGCTCTTGGTGACGTGTAAATCCCATTCGATAATCCTATTGCGATACACGGCTCTTAGCCTTATTCGCGACTCGATCCTAGATAGGGTTTGAGTTCGACTCATGACGTAGTCCTTCGCGAATAGTCATTGAGACAGGGTTCTCATGACTGCTAGTCATACTAGGTCGTCGATGGAACATCGCTCTAGATATTTAGCCGGCATGGAAAGCTTCCACGCTACTAGACAGCTACTAGCTGAAGTTTCCACGTGTTCTGGAAATGGACCGTGGAGTACGTAGAGTTATTACCATAACCTACGATATCACACTTCGAGGCCTCCCGCGGGAGACCAACTTCAATGAGCTTCACAACGATCTCTCTCATGGATTAGTTTTCGTAGCTTTCTAATCTCTCTCATAACTTTCATTCTCTCAAACTCAAAACACTCGAAAGATCTTTACACTAGCTTTTAGCGTAGTGCATTTGGTTAACAAACACAATAGCTTTCAGCTACCCTCAACCTATTCCTTCACCATGAAGATTGCTCAAGGAAAGCATGCGTTCAGCAACTTCGAGAAACAGTTGCGTGACAAACCCATTCTTCCTCTCGTCGACAATGACGAAGACAACGAGGTCGACGACACTCGTGCAACCACCTACAAACTTCGCACCATTCCTGCAGACACAAATAGTGCCAAGTACACTTTCAAGGTAGCCATCATCAATGGCTCCAACACTCCTCGTGAGACCATCAAGTGGGCCACGAATATGGAGAAGGTCTTCATTGGACTTAACCTTGCTGGTGCCGACGACAAACATCGTCTTCTCAAGGAGATGACTTCCAGCTCTGCAAAGAGTGCCTACGAAGCTGGGTGTGCAGGCAGTCGTGCCGTGCGTCATAACGCCCTTCGACAAATTGCTGTGAATGCAATTGCTCCACGCGATGTGGCTTCTGGAGAAACCGAAGTCCAATTCCAAGCTCGTGTCCAAACTGCATGGGACGGTGCAGCAGAACCTGCTCTAAGCGATGCTGACATCACCTTTGGAATCAATGCGGTGATCGAACAAGCCTGTTCTCGATAACTTTTAGGAGCGAGAGCTCTGGATTCCTCTGGGATAGCTCCAACAGCTATGCTGGCCTACA